TAATTGCTTCAAAAACTCCCAAAGCCCTAATATGACTATTGTCAAACTAAAATGAAGTATGACATCTTACAGAAGTTCATACCATGCTCTTAAGTATGCCTTTGCTTGCTTTCTGAGTGCCTTTTTCTCCTCGTGGACAAGCCCATGTGTAGAATATTATTTGAAAATGTGTTACGTTTGTTTATGCTGTGGAACATTTGTTTTAGTGATGTAAAGATGTGGTGCATTCTTTTATGTTGTGTTTGTTTAACTCTGTGAAGCTGTGTCACTTTGCCTGTCTAAAACATTTAATTGATCAGTTAGAGAACTGAATGGCCAATAGCAAGGCAGGAGAAAAAGGGGAGGGGCTGGCAGGCAGGCAGGAGAAACCTGGGTAGGGAGATGAAGCAATGAGATCTAGGGGCAAGAGAAGGAGGACTCCAGGAGCTAGCCACCCAACTACATAGCAAGCCACAGCGTAAGAAGTAAAGAAAGGTATATAGAATAAAGATAAAAGCCCAGAAGCAAAAAATAGATGGGAATAATTTAAGAAAAGTTGGCTAAGAACCTGAAAACAACCTAAATGCCCCTCGACCAAAGAATGGATAAGGAAAATGTGGTACATTTACACAATGGAGTACTACACAGCAGAAGAAATGACATCTTGAAATTTGCAGGCAAATGGATGGAGCTAGAAAACATCATATTGAGTAAGGTAACCCAGAACCAAAAAGACAAATATGCTATATACTCACACATAAATGATTTTTAAATATAAAGCAAAGAAAACCAGCCTACAAATCACAATCCCAGAGAACCTAGACAATAATGAGAGACATACATGGATCTAACCTACTTGGGACGTAGAAAAAGATAAGATCTCCTGAGTAAATTGGGAGCATGGGGACCATGGGAGACAGTTGAAGGGGAGGGAAGATGAAGGGAGGGGAGTAGAAAAAAATGTATAGCTCAATAAAATCAATTTTTTTAAAAAGTAAAGCTGGCTAGAAATAAGCCAAGCTAAGGTTGGGCATTTATAAGTAATAATAAGTTTTCATGTATATTTATTTGGGACCTGGGTGGTGCCTCCCGCTAAAGAGACAAAAGAGCCCAAAGAGTAACAAACAACAAGCCCATTATAAAGCATCTTTCAAAAGATCTCCGACTCTGTTTCCTACTGCCTAGTCCCCAAATATTTTGCTTCAGTCAAAACCACAGATCCAGGTTTGGACTGAATTTAGGTCCCTAAAAGACTAAGGGAATTCCTCAGGCTGTTGCAGATGACAAAGTGGAGCTGAGCCTCCTTCCCTCCCTCCCTTGACAATAAGAGGCAAGAGAAGTGTATTCTGTATTCCCGTTTCTGTATTCCTAGACCCATTAGCCACCCACACAACACGACTGGACAAAACCTGCCCATGCCTTCCCTACCCATCTGAACTCAGAATCCTATTTGCGACTGAGATTTCTGAGGGCAGGCCTGCCTGTGCCTGGCAGCTCAACTGTATGCATTTGAAGCCCTAGGGAAAAGTCTCTTTCTCTCTGGAATCTGCATGTTAATGCATTCCCTGAGCCCTTAGAGCTGGTCATAAAAAACGAGCCTTGTTAATGTGGTTTCTCGCAGTCAGTCATGTCCCAGAATTATTTTGTCCAGGAGGAGAAGTCAAATGTTAACGGATTGATCTTTCTCTTTTAATAAACAAGCACAGAGGTGAAGGTTGTGAGGCCCAAAGCATCCCAGAATCTGAAAATGATTGCTTCATCGAGGCTGTTTTTCTTTTTCAGAACACCTTTAGGTGATGATGCTGTTAAGACTACCATCTTACTTTAAGGCTGAATGCCCTGTGTTATAATCAGAATGGGGTTCTGTAGGGCTTTTTGTTTGTTTTGGTTTTGTTTTGCTTTGCCAGTGTCATTTGCTTTCAGTACAGGATCTATACAAATTTGATCATTTTGCCTAGAGAAAGAAAAGAACTCTGTACACGAGTTCTCTGGGTTCCCTTGGCCTGGCAATATGCTGGCGGTTTGCAGTCCCCTCTAGAGAATGCTCTGTGTGTGAATGAATGCATGATTGTGTCTGAATGTTATAATACAGCCCTTCCTTCAAAAGCGCACAGAAATTTCATTAATGGCTTGTGAGGCAAAGAACAGCAAAGGGCCACATGGATGCATACATTCCGCATCAGGTTACAGTCCCAAGGGGGCACCAATTAGCAAGTTAAATGCAGTTTCTATTTCAAGCTAGATTACAAAGCAATGGGATAATGCCGCAGGCCTTTAAAGGGAACGCATTTTAATTGATCAGTCTGTAGTCCTTGAATCCAAATGAGTCCTCTTCTCATTCCCAAGGGGGAAACCCTAATTCTAGGTCAGCTGAAGAATGGAGGGGAGTCTATTTCACAAGACGGCACATTCAAATTAATAGCCTTCTTTCCACGGGCCTATTCATAATGGGAGGCTTTTTGTAAATCCTCTAACTACTCCTGTTCAAAACCTACGGATTCATTGGGGTAATTGTCACCCACCCCCACCCCACCCCCATGCCCTGGGCTTTGCTGCTAGAATACCACTGTCAGGTATTCAGGAAGTAACCTTGGAAACAAAGATAATTACCTTCCAGTCTTCGCTGTCAAAATGTAAAGATCATACAAAATGAGGGGCGGAAGTGACTCTGTGCAGACTCTTCCATCTTGGCAGCTGCTGCTCCACAGAGAATTCCCATATGTCCCTTGCAGTTCTAGGTCCCGTTGGGCCTTCTCTTTTTATTCTGTCTCAAGCACCATAGGAAGGAAAAAGGGGCAAGTGGGAGGATGTTTCATGCGAGGTGCTCATGTAGATGGATTTGTTTCCCCCAGCACAGAGGTCCCCTGGCCCGTGGTGAACAGCCAGGATAACAGGTTCAGTGAATGCTGTATTCAGATTCTAACGAAAATCACACCATTGCAGATGTGTGCTAACAAATGCACGTGCTGCCTCCTGCATTGCTGAACACAGTGCTGTTTCTAGTTGTTTTCCTACAAAACCTTCAACTACTTGAACCTTGTTTATCTTCCATGGAAAAGGTTTATACATGATGTGTTTTTCTTATAAATATTTGGCATGAATAAGCCCGATTCAACAAGATATATGGGATTTCTGTTTTGAGATGGTGTCTCAGTATGTTGCCCAGAGTAGTATTGAACTACTGGGCTCCAACAATCCTCCTGCCTCAGTCTCCCCAGTGGCTGGGACTACAGGTACAAGCCACCCACCTTATCAGGTTGATGTATAGGTGGGAGTTCTGTTTGTTTGTTTTGCTGGGGACCGAACCCACTAGCAGACAAATGCTCTACCACTGAGACACCACACACAGCTCAAGATGAATATTTAAAGTACTTAGTGTGAAATATGTGAATTTTGAAAATGATAACTTAATTGAAAGCAAGGATTCTTCTTTTCTTAATAGTATATGTACCATCCAATGACTAATTCAATATGGAACTTTCCATATCATATAGATAGTGGATTTGAGCCTTAACAAAATTACATACATATTAAATTCAAAACTCTCCTAAATCCACTGAATTTGTCGCATGACTTGACTTAGTATTATGCTGTGAATGTGCCTTGGAGATTTATTAAAAAGTGGAGACTGTTTTTATAACACTAAACTAGACCTTCATTTTGAAGCAGAACATGCTAATCTATATTTAAACAAAGTGAGCACTAGAGGAAATTTGATAACACACTATCCAACCATACCGGACGGCCTGAGGCATCACAGTCCGAGATAGGGGCACAGCTTGATTGGGGTTCACCCCACAGTCTGGCAAAAACACCTGGGAGCCCAAGTGGGTGGGAGCCAATTAGACAACGGGCAACCCTAAGAAAACTACCTCCGGAGAAGGGAAAAGCAAGCCAGTCTTTCCCACCTGTGGCTTTCAGGCAATGACTTGAGCTTTTGACAATGACTGCTTCTGGAGCAGCGAGAAAGACCTTTGAGCTCCAGCCATAGTGCTGTGGCCTGGTCATACCAGGTAGGGGACACATTTGATTTTCACACAGTCTAGTGTTTGATAATCTGGTCCCTCACTGTGTGGTTGCTCAATGCTTCTTCTCAGGTTATAATAGTATTAATCATTAATTAAATTTATTCTCTCTCTTTCTCTCTCTCTCTCTCCCTCTTAAGACGGGACCTTGATTTGTAGCCCAGGCTGGCTTTGACCTGGTCATCACACTGCCTTAGCCTGTACGTGTTGGTATCACAGGCCTGTGTCTGGATGAGTCTCCATCTTGAAAAGATACATATTTTGCCTCCTTTGCCCAGCTGTGGTCTGATCAACCCCTCTCTTTTGATCTCATCACTCAGCTTTACTTTACTGGGTATTAAAATGAACTCTGTTCCTTCTAGAATAGGAGATTTCTGAGCCCCCGTGGATCTAAAATGCACTCACCATCCATGTCTTCCTCGGATGGGAGGTAGCAGCAGTACGAAATTACTCATGCAGTATTTAAGCTCATATGTGGTGATCAGTCAGCCATAGTGTTTCCCGTGGTGCCTAATAATTCTGAAGGCCCCACTTAGGCAACATGGAACTTGACTGCCTCGTACATCATATTTCTCTCCACTTTAGGGAACATGTAGCTATCTGAAGGTATGAAAATTCATTTAGTCTAGATTCATATTTTACATTTACTCAAATATTTATTTGAACTCATAAAAAGTTAATTGAGGTAATTTAAAAGGTGAAGAACTAAAAGACCTCTCAAATATTGACCAAGGGACTCTGAGAAGCAACTGCAAGAACTTAACATCCAGATCACTGCAGGCACATTGCCATAGCCCTGCACACAAGCCCATCTCTCCTCAAAACCATGCTCCCCAGCTGCTGAATTCATGGGCTGATTTGCTCTGCAAGGTGCCAAAAATTTAGCTAAAGTGAGAAATGCAACCAACTAGAAGGAAGAAATATAAATGTACAAACAGGATATTTTTTTCTAGAGTCTTGGGGATTCAGAAGGTTCATAATCGTCATACAAATATATAAAATTTTTAAGGAGTGCATTTATTTTAATCCATTTTTCCTCCTTAGTTCTTCACATCAACCCTGCAAAAGAAAAGGCAAACATATTATTAGGTTCTTTCCCTCCTTGATTTTTTATTAAGATATGACTAACAAACAGAAACTGTATATTTACAATGTGATGTGATGTTTTGATATATGCATACACCATGAAGTGATTAGATCAAGCTAATTAGCATCTATAACAACTCACACATTTTTTATGGTTAGAACACTGACAGTCTACTCTCAACAATTTCCAAATATGTACTACCTTATTAACAGAAGTCACCATACGGGACAACATTCCTGCATGTAGCTGACATTTTGTGCCTTCTCAACATTTTCACATGTCTTCAGTGCCATAGAAACCACCATTATATTTTCTCTGTTTGTGCACACTCAGTATTTAGATTTCACATACAAGTGAGGTCATATAGCAACCTTCTTTCTCGGTCTAGCTTAGTTCACTTAATGCACTGACCAAGCTCACTAATTCAGTTTTCATGTGATATTTTTAGGAACACCTTATATACCAAAATGATTAGCACAAGTTAAATGAGGTAAAAGACCCCATTTTGACTTACAAATGCATCTCTCAATTCTAAGTATGCAATGTGAACTGCAGAAAAAGTACAGTATAGCCATCAACTTTGGTCCTAGCGATTTAAGTAACTGTGGACGAAATTAGGATGGTGCTCCTTGAAAGAATTAAAAATGCATGCAGAATTTAAAACTATGACTTGGCAAAACCTGGCCTGGTGGAAATTTCCATTCGTGAGTCTAATTCAACCCTTTCTCTATCCATTTCCACTGCCGTGTGACTATAGTTTCCTACAGTTGTGGGTCGGGTGGGAGCCCTAATGCCTGGGTTTGAACGTGTGCTTGTCTTTGGCCAAGGAAATGAAACGGAAGTGTCTTTACGTGTATTACGTGATTTCGCTTGTTTGTTTGTTCCTCTGTTAATGCCATAGCATGAGTAAGCCCAGGCAAGCCTTTTGACCCCCTAAAGAATGAGAAATCTGTAGCAAAGAGCTAAAAGACTTGAAGACTCCTAAGTGAGTAACAGCCAAGATCAGCTAAACACAAAACACGTGAGCCAGAATGAAAACATCTTTTGTTTTCATCATTGGATTTGGAAGCCATTCATTATGCAGCGATAGCTAATAACACGGTGCCGTTTCTTTCCAAAGGTCTTCCCCAGCAAGTCTCCCGCATTATTGACACATTTGTTTCCCATTAGTCTTTAGTGCCTTTCTTTGTGTGCTTTACTCATATGAATGGGCAGATTGTTTCTAAGTAGAATAAATAGCTTTTTTGTTACCAATGGCTGGATTTAAAAAAAAAAAAATCTGCAGGCAAAGGTGACATGACTCCTGGGGCAAAAACTAAGACTTGGGTTCTCTCCGCAGCCCTTGATTTCTTCTCCACTTCAAACGCTGGCAAGCCAAATGCTTTATTTCTCCATCTCTCTCATAGCTAGTGGGAGTCGCAGAGCCCAGATATGGCCCGTGAGCCCTGAGGAGAAGTGTACAGCTGACATCTTTTGGAAAGCTTTGCTTCACAGTATGCATCTGTACAGCTCACAGAGCCCTACCTGGCTCTGAACATTTGTAACATGGCCGGGATGTAGGCTGTACTGCTCTCCTTGCTGAGATGAAATGCAGAGAGCTTCCAAAAGCAAAGAGACCTTGCTCAAAGCCTCACCTCTTCTAAATGGGAAAAAAAAAAAAAACGGATTTTAACTTAGGTGTCTGGACTCTGAGGCTCTTTCCAGTCTACTAACAAGGACGATTTGGATGGCTCTTTGAACTAGAGGGAAAAGCAGGAGGCCATTATGGTTGTAAACTGAAATGACCTCTTGAATTTCTAGAGAATTTGATTTTTTCAATTGTAGTAAGACCACAACATGAGATCTACTCTCAACAAACATTTAAGTGTAAAATATGTTATTGTTGGCTTGGGTAAAATGTATAGTAGATCCCTACAGATAATTCATCTTGTTTAACTGAAATTTTATATCCACTGGTGTGTAACCCCTTGTCTCTTCTTGCCACCTGCCCCTAGCAAGAATCTTGGCTTTTATGGGTTTGATTAGTTAGGGACATCATATAAATGAAATCAGATAGTGTATGTCTTTCTGTGAGTAGTATGTTTCACTTTGTATAATGCTGCCCAGTTCATCCATGACTTTTTGTGCAGAATTTCTAGGCTGGATAGACTTCCCTTGTATATTAACAGTACATGTTATTTATCCATTGCACTGTTATATAGTTAAGGGTTTTTTTTTTTCTAACAGTTTTCAAAAGTCACCAAGAGTAAGTAAGATGCCGCATTTGCCCCTGTCCTGGGTTTCTAGATGAGATGGAGACTGGCTGCCTCACGTCCCCACGCTGGGCACCATGCCGGTCCTGTCTGTAACCATCCTCCCTCATACTTCAGCCCTCGGAGCTCACCAAATCACGCATGTACTGCTTCTGCAACATGGCAAGGCCATCAGACGTCTCGTCCCCCCCACCTCTCCATTCTGCTCCGGGTGGCCCCTAAATAGGGTAAGTCTGCTGCTATGCCTCATCTTCATCCCCTTGCATTTCCCACTAGAACTCTCCTGCCGTGGGCTAGAACTTTCTGAAGGATTTGCACATGCCCTATCCATTTCCATTTCCCTCCGCTGGCCTCTCAACTGCACCTGACACAGAAGCCTCAGGACTGATGTGAATAGGGACCGCTGGAGAAATGATAACTGAGTTGGAGTTACAGATAGCCTCACAGTCTCCAATGGGAGATGGCGGGAGTGAGCAAGGGGTCGTAGATTTAATAAACCAAGACTGATGATTTGATGTGCTATGTCCCCACTGTGCTGTTAATTCTTCTCTAGACCCCCAGACGGAGTCCCATCATGACTAGAGTGTGCTATATTCAATTTATTGCAGTGAGCGCTGCGTTGGGTGACATATGGCCAGCCTTTCTGGCTAAGTGAGAGTCCATAACAAGCTGACCTTGAAGCTAAGACATTCCTTGGACTTCTCTGAACAGCATAAAAGGGGTGGTGATCCATATCAAATTGTCACTGAGGCATATTCTGTGAAGTGTGATTTCTCTCTGAGAAATGTTCAGACAGTGAAGCACTGTCTACAACCCAGAGTCAGTACCATTTATATGACAGGCTCGATGCCGACTCTGAACACTCGGCATCTTCCCAGCTACGTGGAATCATGGCTTTCCTGAGAAATATTATTTAGATGGCCCTAGCCTTAAAGGAAGTAGACTCCTTCTCCTCAGCCACTGTGCCTAAGAGCCAAAGCAGTCTGCAAAACGCTGGTTAAAGAGGGGGATTCTAGGTCTGTGCCATAAGCCTGTATTTCAATGGAAAAAGACAAAGAACTGATAGTGATGCTACCGGTTTTGGTTACCTATTATGCGCTAGGCACTCCAGTTACTCCCCTCTATCTACAGATTGAGCCTGATTATTCCTATAGGAGCCAGGCAGGAAGTAATAGGATGGTGGAAACACCCCAGTTGCCTTAGAAATCACCCGGTAGCCCACCCCGTTCCCTTTCCCATAGAATTTAAGTGAGCCCGGGCACAGAACTCTGCTCATGGATAAAATCAAATATAATCTCCCCTGGACTTCAAAGCCCCAGAGGAGTGGAGTCTGTCTCACTGGTCTCATGGGACTCACTGTGTGCTGAGAATCCCTGGCTGATACCAGAATACAAAAAGCCAGGAATCCAGAGCCCAGCACTCTGTTCTCTGAGTCAGGGCTCTAATTTAGAAATGGAATCAACGGGAAGCTAGCCAGAGCTAAAACTGCCCTTGCTGTAAAGCACACTTGTTTGTCAGGGTGTAGGAATGCAAGTGTGTTGGGCAATCACCAGGGCCATGATGCTTCGCCACCTAGAAAACAGTCGTCAGTGACTCTGCTGTGCCCTAGCCTCAGGACAGGAAGGTGAAATACCCCGATGAAAAGTCACTTGACAGCTAGCTACCCAACACTTCTCTCCCCTAAATTTGAAAAGCCAGACACCCATCCTCCAATTTCCCTTTGGCCAGGGCCCATTTTGGCTAGTCTAAGAAATATACCAAAGACCTCCCCTGTGCCACTCTAAGTCCAGGCTGAGGATCATGTGATGTTTATGCCTCCCCATGACCCATTTATAGCTGTCTTACTCATAGTCACTGTGGACCCACACACATCATAGGAGAAATGGAGTCCACTCAACACTTGTCTGCGTTTGTTCCTTTAGCCGCACACTCGGCGGGTGCTGCAGCAATTACTGCCTCCTATGGGGTGCCAAATCATACAGCCATAAACACGATGACACTCAGGAGTAGTGACACTCAGAGAAAGGCAGGGCCTTGTGCTCCAGTTTCATTTGCAATGGCCAACTACCCTCGGAGCACGCCGGTTCAAGCCCTCAAGTTCACTAGAGGTTAGCACAGTAAAGCAAGGTTCTGGCATCTGTGGAGTCGTCTAAAGTCTGCAAGGCATTCACACACATTGTCCTACGGAGGCATCATGATCACGCCGTGAGGTTGGTAGCGCAAGCTATAGCAACAGCACAGAAGAAACATCACAGACCCACAGTGAGAGAAGAAGGCATGTGCCACTTAGAACTCTGTCCAGGCAACCCGAAGCCCCGTAATCGTTTAAAATCTGAAACAACGAATTCGTGATCCTAGAGAAGCTAAATAAGAAGGTGAACCCAAAGAATAACATATAATTATCCTCCTGGATATTGGAAGTAGACAAGACTGCCGGACAGGGGTTGGGAGCACGGGGGTGGGGGAAGGGTGGGGATAAGGGGAGATAGGGAGAGAGAAGGGAGAAGGGGAGGATAGGGAGAGCCTGAGGGAATGGGATGGTTGGGATGGAGGAGGGGTGGATGTGGGAGCAGGGAATTAGATATCTTAATTAAGGGAGCCATTTTAGGGTTGGCAAGAGACTTGAATCTGGAGGGGTTCCAGGTGTCCAAGGAGATGTCCCCAGCTTGCTCCTTGGGCAGCAGAGGAGAGGGTGCCTGAACTGGCCTTCTCCCATAGCC